CCCATGCCCAGGAGGTACAGGCTGGTCAGCCAGATGGAGATTTCTTTTGACAGGCTGCTGGAGGGAAATACAAGTAATGGCATGTCTCATTCTGCATCCCTCGCGGGGCTGGACACATGGCTTGTCATTTGTCCAGAATGCAGCAGGACAGTCTGTCCTCAACCCTTAGTCACTTCTCAATGAAGCATCCGACGCAGAAAACCTTTGCATTGAATTTCCAGTTTTATCTCAAGGGTGATTTTTCCCTCCTCCCCACCACCATGTTTTGTGATCTCTTTGGTCTTCTGCACAAACTTTATTGTTCTCCTCCTCCTCCTTCTGTTGTCTACACATTGCTGCTCTTCCTACACAGCACAGGAATATTGCAACCTACTCCTGGTTCTTTCTGAGCCAGAACAGCATTAGCATTAGCATCGTGCTGCTGACAGGCAGCTAACATTCACCACAGCAATGCTAGGCAGCAGTGAGAGCATGTACGTATGCTATACAGAGCACTGTGGCCTCATCTCTTCAGCCCTGGACCCAACGTGCTCCACAGAGCTAATCCATTCATCTACCAGCCGTAAGGACTCTACCTTTGTTTCCTACATGAAGTGCTGATTGCCCCGATGGCGTGAAATGCATGAGTTAAATATATGATTGCTGATGGCTTTCTTACTCTGACAGTGGCTAATGCTTGGTTATTAAGCTGTCTGCCTGAATGATTTAAGCCACTAATCTCGGCTCTTCCTCGCGTTGCTCAAGCTTGCCTTAGGTAAGACTTGTGTTGTGCTTTGTGTGAGCTAGTTCAGTCTTTTCCTCTGCAGCCCTTCTTGCTGGGAAGGATCCAGTCTCCGTGGCCTGAAGAACAACGTATGAATGGGACATTGTGAGCATCTGAGTCCCAATCTTCACATAGTCATTAATCTGCCTGGCAGTCCCCATCTATAAAACACAAATCCTTGTTATTGCCTAGGTGACCTGCAGGTTTATAGCTGTATGGTTGGGATGGGGTTATCTATAAATACTTGCACAATTCTTCCTGACAACCCTCTTGTGCATTCCCTTGGTCTATTTGAATGGAGCGCAGGTCCTTTCGAAGCTCGCATTTACACTGCAAAAGTAAAAAGCAAACAGCTGTTCCTCTTTCAGGCTCTTGATGCTCAGTAGAAGAGCTCCATTTCTTTGCCTTCATCCTATCTTCTCCATCAGTACTGATTTCCTCTTTCGGCTTTTGAGTCTAATTAACAAGCGATAGGAGAAGAGGAAATGCCTACAAGTTGTGCCAAAGGAGGCTTAGATTGGATATTAGGAAAAAATCCTTTACTGAAAGGGTTCTCAGGCATTGGAACAGGCTGCCCATGGAAGTGGTTGAGTCACCATCCCTGGAGGGATTTAAAAGATGTGTAGATGTGGTGTGTAGGGACATGGTTTAGTGGGCATGGTGTTGTTGGGTTGACAATTGGACTTGATAATCTTAGAGGTCTTTTCCAACCTTAATGATTCAATGATTTTATGATTCCTGAATAAGTGTCCAATGGTTGTCTTGAAGGGCTGTGCATCTATACCAGTACACCTGTCGTCTTGAGTGGCCATGCTGTTAGGCTATACATTTTGTGGATATCTTGTGCTGCTGCATCTGATGACTTCTAATCCTCCTTTTCATTTGTGTGCTTTTTCTGTAAAGCATCCCTTTGGAATCTTACTTCTCAGGTGCTCTGACTGTCTTCCAGGATATTTCAGGAGGCTGACTCAGTAGGTGATGCTCTCCTGCTCACATCACACTGCAATCCAGTACTGGTTGTCCCAGCAAAAAAGCTGGGACAGTTGGGTGGGATGAGCTTTGAAATGCTGATCCTTCATGAGTGATGCTTCCTTGTTAGCCATCACGTGCAGGAGGAGATTGAAATTAATATCCAGGTCAAATTCTAGCTCAGGTAGTAGCAGTCCCTACACCTAATTATCCTCCTGCCCTTTTAATCCCATTTGTCATTGTTCCATCATGAACTTGTGGGCAGCGATTTACTATGGCACAGTCATCTGGGCTCCCATCTCTGAACTCCGGCTGCCTACTCTGGCACAGCTGTAAATGCTGGCAGGCAGTCAAAGGCCAAAGATGAAATCTGTGGAGAGCCAGGCAGCCTCGAGCCAAGGATAACCTCTCCTGCATCCAAGGCCACCTCTGCCAAGGTCCTCCCAGGTCCAGCCTCAGCATTTCCAGCTCCTCAAAGGCTGTGAGGAAGGCATGACAGGAATATATCAAGAAGTGCAGAGCAGCCAGACACTATAATTTATCTATCTGCTGCCTAAACTTACTTCCAGATCAAAAGGAGCTGATTGACAGGAGAGCAGGAAGCAGAGCATATGGAAACCTCCTGGTCCCAGGAGGAACCTGCTGCGGCTGCTCTCCAGGGCAGGGCTGAAGCAAACGCCTTTCTCACCTCATCAATCACGATCTCCCCTTCTTTTAGCAGATATTATATTTTTGTGGATATTATATTTGCCATGCAAAGCTGCTATTTCTGCAAGTGATCCTCTGTCGGTGCTGGGGCTCTGGGGCTGTTGTAGAGGATGTGGGGTGGAAAAAAAGACCAGGGTAGAGAAGGGGAAGCAAGAACTCTTCAGGGACCAACAGCAGAAGTTGTGTAGTCATAGCAGTGTGCTGGAATATTTAACATCAAATGTTCTAGGAGCTGATGATATATGAAATGACATACATCTCAGGGAACTGCTGCTTTCTCCCTTCTGTACTCTCTTCTTCTGAAACCTGTCAGCCTGCTGTTATGTCCTCTCCTTTTCCTCCTGCAAAGACTCCCTGCTCTATTCTCAAGCCCTCCACTTGCTCCCACGCAGTCCCTGTGAATTTTATAGAAGTTAAAGGGGACACAGGTTTTGAAAAATTTTTGTGTCTCCTAGATTTCAGGTAGGGGGGAACCAGCCCTAAAACATCTCCCTCGCTCACTATATTTATCTACCCACGGAGAGGCTCAAAGCAGCCACGGGCAGCGTGATCCTGACAGGTACCCTGCTCCTGGCGATGCCTTCGGCACTCTCTGTTCTGCAGGCTTCTCCAGGACTAATATCATTTTATTGCCCCTGGCTTGAACCCACGATTTGCACTGTTAATTGCTCTGCAGTGCTCATGGACAAGAGCACTGGTTTGTCCACAGTAGCAGTCCATGAACCCTGATCTTCTCCTAAAAATGTGCTAATTAAGCAATGGCAGGATGAGTGGTACAGCTATTTCATGCCATTCTGGGGCTGACAGAAGAAGCAAGGGTAGCTGAGATGGGACTTACCTGTTTTAGTTGCCAATTGCTGATGGAGCAGGTAGCAGTGCAGAGCCTGTTAATGAAGGAGCTTTGAGAAGCACAAAATGAGGAGGTTTAGCCTGTACTTTGGTCCTGTCTGGCCTAATATCTTTTCTGCCTTTCCCTTGGAGAATCTGGGCAGCCAGACATCTCCACTGACTTACACACAGCCAGAAATAGGATTGTTAGTTGCTGTTCAACACCTGGGGCCATTTCTTAGGGCTTGAGGTTCAGGACCTAGAACTGAAAAATATCTCCATGTCCTAAGTTATTATTGGAAACAAGAGAAGCAGGAATAAGATTAGGACACACAAGGGAGAAAAAGGGCAGCGTTACACTGCTGCTTCTCCTCACATATCTGTGCAGGCAAGAAAACAAAGACAAAGCTGTAGGGGAGTTTGTGATGGACCCTGTGACATGGACCTCGGTGGGCTTGAGATTGCTGTGGACATGTGACAATGACCTGCACCAAGCATTGGGCATCCTCCCTGGGCTCTGTCCCAGCTCCCACACCCCCTGCCATGGGAAGAGTGAGGGAAGGCAGCACTGCCAAGGTGTCCCACAGCAGAATGGGGGCAGGTGGACCCCCAACCCACAGCATGGCAGGAAGGTCTACAGGTCCTACAAACCCTCTTTAGTCTTTGTCCCTCCCTGCTACGCACACATGCACTTGCTCCTCTCACCCTTTTGGGCAGTCTGACCTTGCTGAGTGCATTCCCGATTCCAACAACATTTTTAGATGCTTGCTTGGAAGTAGCCAGTGCTGACTCAGGAGGTTTCCACTCATGAACTACAAATATTCAGACCCTATTGAAAAAGACCAGGAAAAGTTAGAAACATGTTACTGGAAAAAAAACAAAAAGAAAAGAAAAAAATTAGGAGCCTAATTAGGAGCCTAAAATTAGGCTTAAGGAAGGAGAAAGGGCATGTGTGAAACCTTCAGCTACTGTAACTCTGCTGGTGCCATTCAGGGAAAGGAAATAAAAAAAAAAAAAAATAGCTGTGTCCATAAATACACCCAGGCAGGGGTTTAAGAGGACACATATTGCCTAATAAATCTTTCCATGTTTCTCATCTGCCCCGGCTGACTCAGGTGACGTTACTGAAATGTCACAATTGCTAAGCATTAACAAGCGATAAGAACGCTTTTACCACCAACTAGACAAGTAGTAATTATGCTGCGTCCTTTCCCTCTCCCCTTTCTTGTAGCTCTACCAGTTAGACTTTCCAAGATCCTTCCTCTGTTTAAATAAGCACTAAAAACATGTCACAAGGCAATAAAGCAATGTGACAGAAAACATAGGAGACGAGTCCACAGACGCTATGTTTTATTAAAGGTTTTTCTTAATGACAGAGAGGATGTTACAAAGTGCTGTATTAACACGTGCAAGATGCTTGGGCAAAGAGATGATGTCATTGGAGCTTGATGTTTTCAAGAGGAACTTTTCTTAGGTGCCCCAATCCCAAAAAATCCCTTTTGCCACCTTAGCTGGCAAAACAGTTTTTCAGAGCGACAGCAAAAGATGTTTGGCTTTGTGGCAGCTCACAAGAATCCAGCTGATGCAGTGGTGTAAGTTATGGATGTGTCCTGGGCTCGCAGAACTTGGGAGAAAAAACAAATGGTCTTTGATAGATGGAGCGATGTCTATTAAAGAGCCTGCTCCTGCCTTCTCTCTCCTCCCGTTGTAACTCCCCACGTTTCCCTTGCAGATGGGCTGGCTGCTTTCCGTGCTTTCCTGAAGACAGAGTTCAGTGAGGAGAACTTGGAGTTCTGGCTTGCCTGTGAGGACTTCAAGAAGACCCGCTCGGCAGCCAAGCTGGCCTCCAAGGCTCAACGGATCTTTGAGGAGTTCATTGATGTGCAGGCTCCTCGGGAGGTGGGTACGCCAGTGCCTCTGGGTCCATTCCTCCCAGCTGGGACCTGTGGGGTGCTGGGGAGCCCTCCCTCTCCTCCCG